TGCATGTAATTGTGTTCTAAAGACGTCCCATTTCCACGATGAATAGTCATGACACCGGGGTGAGGGGGACTGTGACGCCACATTTGAAACCACTAGAATGCTATGATTCATCTTGGTTTCATTGCTAAGAATCCTATCTCAGATAATTTGCAGCCAGGTTCTACCCGCAAGCAAGTTTCTTGAGTCGTGTTAAATTCATGGGGAGAATCCCCTGAGGATTTAGCACTGAAAAATAGACAGCTTTAGTAACTGAATGCTGATGGAAAGAGCAGGGAAAGCAGCGTGCTCTAACCGTTGAGGGAAAAGATGGGTAAGTTGCTACTAATAAGCCGTGCAACATTTTTTTCCTGCCGTTTTCTTCACACGAAGGAATAAGGAGATGAACTTTTAAATGCCAGATGATTGCCTGCCAGCTTCCATCCCTGGGGCAAATGTTTAGTTAGGGATCATTTTACTATTGCCTTTACTAAAGCCTCTGAGGACACACCCTTACTGGAGTCTAGGTTAAAAGTCAGATTTCTGCATAAGAGTGCGGTGGATAGAATCACATCCGTGACTCTAGCCGTGTATCCAATATTTCATTCCAGTTATGTCAAGCTGTCTGCTGGCTCCCAGATCTGCCAGGTTTTTGAATATTGTCCTTCTGCCCACCTGTCCTACCAGGGAAGTTGATTCATCTTTTAAGAGCTCCTTGCAGTGTGACTTCTAAAAAACTTACCCTAAACAAAGCCAATCTTCTATCCTACATAGCACTCTTGGCCTGCTTTATTTGTGGAACTAAAGTGGCTGGAAGGATTAATTTGTAATCTCAGTTCCATATGATGTCCCACAGAGGACAATGACTTCATTTCAGACATTTCTGCTGTTTATCCCAAGGTTTTTACAAAAGTAGGGATATTGACTGTTTTAGGTCAGAAAATTCTTTTAAAAAAATCTTTACATTTTCTTTATTCTGTGTGTGGGACAAAGTCTCCCCTTCTATGATGTGAGTCCCAGGGATTGACAACAGGAACTTTTACAAGCTGAGTCAATTTGCTGGTTCACAAAAAACAGTATAGACCTCCACTGTGAAAATTTAGAAAAATGTCCCCAGACATTGCTAATGTCTTAGGGATGTGGCATACCACACACACACACACACACACACACACACACACACACACACACACTCACACACACACTCACACACGCTCACACACAGAGAGGGGGAGGGAGGGAGGGAGGGAGGGAAGGAGAAAAGGAGGGAGAGAGAGAGAGAGAGAGAGAGAGAGAGAGAGAGAGAGAGAGAGAGAGAGAGAGAGAGAGAGAGAGGGAGGGAGGAAGAGAGAGAGAGGTGTTCCTGGTTGTAACCACTAACCCACTTCTAATAGACAGCTTGATCCTAGGTACTTAATGAATATTTGCTGAGCTAACAAATTAGTGAATCCAGTCTGAGTGAATCAAATGCACAATGGTAAACAAACAAACCCAACATCTTGTTTTAGCATTTATCAGTTCAAACTTGAAGTCTTTATTCCAGCCATGGAGGCTCTTCAAGAGCGGACTCGGACTTCTTTCTGCCTTTGTTAGGTGTTTTGTTCTTGCTCTTGACCTCTGGGCTCTTTCCTGTTCCCTTGCTTTGTCTGCCTTTCCTGTCACTCAAATTCTGTGCTTCCTTCAGTACAAAGACTTTAACTTCTTGCAAATGCCTTCTGCCACTTGCTCGCATTCATTTGGGAATGAACACAACTGCTTTGTATATTGCTTTGGGTCTTAGTGGTATTGATTAGTGTTTTGTTTCATAAACACACATACAGACTTTCTTCTTAACTGAAAAATAGCTCCTCCTCGGTAGGCGGGCTCCCTCCTTTCAAGCGTTTCTTCCCCTCTTACCACTGCTGGGAGCTGTAAGAACAGATGTTTGGCTTTTCTTGAAGCACACTCTGCTTCAAGTAACTAGCAGATGTGTTCAATCTGTGACTTGCATTGAAGAGGCAAAGGGATAACTCTTTAATAATTTGCAGTTTTTAGAAAAAAATTCATTCAAACAAATATGAATAGAAGGAGTTTGCAAATGTTTTAGGGTTTCTGTAAGAAGGCATGGAATATACCTCCAACAAGAAATACAGAAATGCATACATTTTCTTTTTCTTCAATCCTCCTTGTGCTTAAACTCCACTTGGGATCTTTTCTACAGGATAAACAGCATTAAAAACATGGGTGTGCTGCCAGTATTGGAAGGTAGAGGCAGGAGGATCAGGAGTTTAAGGCCAGCCTAAGTTATTTAAGACCCTTTCTCAAAAATAAACCAAACCGCCACCACCACAACAACAAACTGTGATATTATCAGGCTAGGCAAAAATACCACAGGTGGAATCCAGATTGAAATAAAAATATGAAGGTGGAGAGGACTGTGTGGGCAGGAGGAAGAGCTTGAGGGGGAGGGACGACAGGAAGGGGGTTGTAGGATGGGAAGTGAATGTGATCAAATTATATTCCACGAGTGTCTAAAAAACGTCACAGTGAGACTCGTTATTAATTAGCAATTAATATATGCTAATGCAATGTACTGGAAACAAACACTGTCAGCATTCCTGGTTTCTTCTGTGCTCTAAAGCCATGAGCATCCTTTGCAGTCCCCCATGCCCTCCCTTAGACATTTCTGCAGTAACTAGTGCCCAGGTTCAGAAATCTCCAACTCCTATTCTACATAGTATTTCTTTCCCAAGTCGTCTGTGGGAACTTGTCCAGGTTTTATCCACTTACGCTCTCCCACAAGGCCTGTGATTTCCTCATTGTCAGTGGCTGTTAAGGAGACGGAGAACTCCCAGGATGAACCAGCCTTGGATTCAAGTCCCTTGTCCTGTGACAGGATAAACATAAGACAGGTGAGCTGAGAGGAGGGGAAATGTGGTTTGCTTCCTACTTATTGTCGTAACCCTCAGGGAAAGGATAAGAAGGCTATTGCTCAAGTGTTGTAACCTGCATCATTGGCAGATGAGCCTCCAATGTCATCAGCCTCTCTGGTTTCAAAGGTCCTGGGGTCCTGGTCATTCCCCTCTCTCTGCTGACACATCCTCTCCCATCTAAACCACAGAACCCAAACACTTCTGGGCCTGTATGTGGGGCTTTATAGGCATGGTTCTATGCTCCAGTCTGTCAATTAAAGAGAAAAATAATGGTGAGACACAGATTTATTTAATGTGATCACATTGGGAAGAGGAATAAAGGGGCCTGGATACCTTTGGGGTACTCGAATGAGCTTTGGATTTAAACAGAGGAGGAAATGAGGTAGGAGGGTAGGGGAATCAAACATCCAACCAATGAATCAGTTGGTCACTGTCTCAGTCGTCTTTTAGGGAGGTGTTTTGGAGAAATCCTTTCCTATGGCTGTCATTGCTTCAAGGCATCAAACTGGTCCCTACAAGACAGTCACTCTAGGGTACAGTCTGGCATTCACGGATCCTTATGCTTGAGGGATCTTATTCTTGAGAGTGAGTGCTCTGTCCCAAGGTTTCTGCTGTGCTGGGAAATCCAGGTGACTTCCACGGAACGATTAAGGACATTGATTTATCTCTGTCCCTTTAGCCAAAGTAACAGGAGACGAAAGTTTTCTTCTGCAAGAGCAGCCAGTGCTCTCAACTGCTGAGCTGTTTCTCCACGCCTCTTCTTCCGCTCAGTCAGGCTTTGCCCACTCAGCCGTCTCGCTGGCCCCACTTTCCTTATTTTCATGTCAACAGATAATCAAAGTTGAGTTCTCTCTCTCTCTGCTCTCCTCTTGCTCTGTCTCGCGCATTAGCTGTTGTACAAGTTTTCCTGACTTACCAATTCCTAGTTCTGAAGGCAGTAGAATAGTCACTAGTCAACTCTGGAATTCCAGGCTCTCTTTACTGCTTCTGGATGGCACACTTTCCTCCAGAGCCTAGGTTCTCAGCACCGTATTGCCATGTGAGCATGAGCCACCCCTCCAGCTGCACTGCAGCCTTGACATGGGTGCTGTTGCCTTTTCCCAACTACAGAGTGAAGGTCTTGCTCACAGGTCCTTCTGAAGCACGCTTACCCTGGGCCCTAAGCAAAGGTGGATCATGTCTCTCACGCTCAATGGTGCTTTACCCTCTATACTTTAAGAATGTCATGCATGGATTTTCATCCGCATTGCTGAGCTGAAGAAGCCCCTGGCCCATGGAATTCGAACAATGTTGACCTGTCAATCACTCATCCACCCATCCATCCTGGCTATCATTCTGAGACTAGCATGCTTACAAAGTTGAACAGTATATAACTTCTATACAGAAGCACCCACACATGTTGCAGGCACCACACAAACATTGTGAATCACCATGAGTCTGACTCTCCTGTGCTTTAGGTAGATAAATTGTGTCTGACTATTTTCTTTTAAAGTTGCTGGTCTCAATGACAACTTAGTTGGTGTCTAATAAATATGTTGAATTAAGCGAACTGATTCCTAGAAATCAATAGGAGACACACTTGGGACTGTCTCTCAATTTTAAAGGTATCAGTTATAGACACTTTCTAATCTCTCCCACACAAAGCATTTCCAGAAGAGATGACCACACAGCAAGGCAGCTAAGGCCCAGCAGTAGCCTGTATGAAAGCAGTGCTGGACACCACAGTATACTGTTTCTAATATGACTAAGCACTGAGAGCCATATGTGCGGCATCCTAGGACAACTCTGCCAAGTCGCTGTTCCTTCCACCTTTATATGGGTTCCAGGCATGGAACTCAGGTCGCCAGGTTTGTGCAGCAGGCACCTTTACTTGCTGAACCATCTTGCTACCCTCCTCCTCTCCCGTTTTTCCTTTTCATCTGCTGTGTATGTCACAGCATCATTTCACCTATCTTCCAATCTTGTAGGTTCAAAACCACAGGTGAGAGAAGAGCTGGGCAAATCCTCTCAGTGAAGACCGAACTCCTTAAACATTTTCAGATTTTCCAACATGGGGGTGAGTGCCCACTCAACTGGAAAGTGGTTTAAATGGCAATGACCATGAGACACAAATGCTTTAAAGTCTTTATTATCCTGAATATAAAAGGCAGAAGTCCTCTAGGATATAACAGAGTTTTGTTTATTTTTTTAAATGTGGAAACATTATTTTTTTTACAAGTGAAAAAATAAATACCTCTTGGAATAAAGGCTTATATGCTAATATGTGCCATAAAAAAGTAGAGTTTTAATATCTGACAAAATGTCTGTGCAAAGAAACAAATGCATAAACACATTACTGCTACATTAAGGCAATATGAAACGTAGACTCAGAAATCTCAGTAAAGTGACAGTGTAGGTTTCTAGCTTTCACTTAGCTAGTATTGCACCCAATGAGGTCAGCTAGGTTTCCTGACAGCCTAGAAAACCTCCTAGCTCACTAGCTTCCAAAATGCCCAAGTGGGGTTGGAAATATGATTAAGAATATGGAAACAACAAACTAACCCCACCTCTGAAAGACATAGGGCTGGGACACAATGAACACAGAAGCATTATTGACAAGAAAACAGGAACAAAGCGAAATAAAACACACATGAAAAGGAGACACTCTCTAGAGACCTATGATAAGGCTATAGAAGGTTTGATCTTCAAGCAAGGAAACACCCATGGGTGGAGCTGGAATGAGTGCTTAGGGGAAGTGAAGAGCCGCCTGAGCACACCAGGAGCCTCTCTCGCACTGTCTGTCTGTCTGTCTGTCTGTGAACTTTTCCTTTCCAATCTCCAAATATTCCACCAGCTCAAAAGCCCAGGGAGTGCTTGCCGATGCCATGGAAGTCGTTTAACCAAACTGGTAGCATTTTATCACCGAAAGGCATGGGATGCAGGGTGTGGGAAAAGAAGAGCTAAGAAGTCGCCCACGTTGAGTTACCTGTTTCCTCTCAGCCACACTGGTTTCAAGAAGACAACATGTCAACCCTTGAGAAGTCATAGGATTGCTTTTCAGTCTGCTAGCTTTCCAGTCATTCTTGAATGAGTTATAAAGACAAAAATGACATTATAACGAGGACTATTTCTTTAAGAAAAAAAATTTCCTATTAAAAATGTTCAGCGCTCCATGACCATACAAAAAGAACCAAGGGAAAATTTTAAAACTCTTATAAAATCTGCTGCCTTGGGAGAAGTTAAAGAGACATATGACATCATTTCCTAAAAGGTACCCACTGTTGGGCTATGGTGCCACTTAACTGACAAAGACAATTTTATCTACTCCTTTACTTGATCATTTAAAAAGAAAACAACCCAAAGTTCTAGAAGGAATGTGTCTCTGTCCCAGAGCTCTTCCTGTTGCCACTGGGCTATTGGCTTCTTTTCACAGGAGTGGTTGCATTCTTGCTTTGCTTCTTCCTGTCTAAAAATGTCTCATGGCAGATGGGTGTTGAGAGTGAGATATTTTCTCACAAGGTTCTTATTCTTATAGTTTACATACAATACTGCAGCTCATGGGGACCTGGCATGTCCAGTAAGCACAGGATGCATTAGATGACAGTCGGATTGACTCGTGGGGACATGGCATGTCCCTTAATGGCAGGGCGTGTTAGATGACTGTTAGATTGAGAAGACTGGTGTGGGTGGGCAGGTAGACATGCTGGACATGCTCCACGCGTGATCTGCAGACTGGACACGACTGGAAAAGAAGCCAACATTGGTTAGAATGCTTGCCAGACCTGGGGAGGTCACCCTTGGTACCCACCACACTCAGTTTTCTAGATAAGCTGCCATTGTGATTTCTAAGCTCTCAGTTGCTCTGTAACAGGCTTGAATGCTTACATTTTACAAGGACTAAAAATGAGTGTAATGCTTTCTGCCTTTTTGGAGACAGGCTCTCACTGGCCTGAAAAACACTGATTAAGCTAGGCTGGCACACAGGTGACCCCCAGGGGTCCTCCTGTTTCCATCTCCCTAGCACTTCCGCTACCCCCACACTTTCTTAATTACACTGGTTCTAGGTACTGAATTCAGGTCCCTGTGCCTTGCAATGCAGAGCATTTAATAGCTCAGCCAGCTCCTCAAGCCTTCTGTTAACCTGAGTTTTCTTTCCTGCATGCTGCTGCCATATACACAGGAGGTCTCTGCACCTTTGGCCACCATGCTAGAGATATGCCATAGATAGGCCTTGGCTCAGCTATCTTGGGGTCAACACCGGTAGGGAAGTATCCTGTGGCCAGAGGCAACAGGTCTCTGGTGTTTTCTTGGCCAGCATACACCCTTCATCAACCATAAAGGAAGACAGGCACAGGGTCAGACTATGTGGGCTGGAATAAGTAAGTTCAGGACTCAAAGTAGAGCTCACTGTCCAGTCCTAACAGTAGCTCTGTAACCACAGCTTGTAAGGACTAGGTGACATGCAAGGCTAGCTTCACGTATACCCACATTGACATTTAGCGGAAACTTTTGAGAAGTGAAACCAAGTGCAAAATTGACTGTAAGAGGAAATGTAACATGCAAGAAAGGAGACATGTTACATATGAGTTGCTTTTATTTTTGTGTGTGAGAGTTAGTTTGGCTGGCTGGCAGATGACAGCCAATAGAAAGGATCCCTAAAAGTATGAACAGTAATAAAAGGAAGCTAACAAGCTGGTGTGGTGGCTCAGTGGGTAAGGATGCTTGCAACCAAGCCTGACACACCTGCATGGTAGAAGAATCGACTCCTGCAAATTGTTCTCTCCCACACACATGAATAAATGGAAGTACAGAAAAAAGATGAATTAATCACAAATAGAGTAAGTTATTGGTAACAGTAATCTATGCATTCTTTAACTAGAATTTTAGGCAAATAATATATTTCTACTATGTGGTATCAGAAGACAAGAGGCCACGTAAAATGGAAGAGGCAGGCCAGGATTCTAGTTCATGGTTTAGCTTCAAAATGCATTGATTTTGTCAGTCTGGACCTCATTTCTGAAACCAAGTGGTGACAAGAGTGTTTCTAAGGGCACAATGAGTGACATCACTGAACACAAAGGCCCTTTCCAGGTGCAGGTGGCTGCTTTCCAGTCTGTGGACTGTGCACCTGTCAGAGTCTCCTTAGTGGCCAGGAGGGCTGTGACCCCTTACCTGCAGCTGGGAAGCACAGCTCTCACAGCACACAGTGTGGCCACAGGGGCAGAAGGTAGAGTTGATTTCCTCCTCACAGCACACCATGCACAGCATGGCTTCCTTCAGCTTGCGCAGTTTCTCCTGTAGCACTCTGGTCTGTTGGCAGCTGAGGCCCTCACAGCTGCTGCAGCTCATGCTGCTGTCGGAGGACTTCAGGGGTGAGCTGGGAGGGCTCTGGTCACTTCGTGAGACAAGGTCCACAACGCCGGCGTTGTACAGAGCCCTCCTGGCATGGTCATACACCTCCTTGGATGTTCTTTTAATATCAAAGACATACTTCTTACCAAGGTTAATGTTTTCATTGAGAAACAGAGATGCCAAGTGGCCCTTCAAGTCACGACTGTACTGCATCATGACGGCACTGGTGACTGTGTCACACCTGAAGATAAGAGTGAACACTGGATTTAATATTGAAAAGCCTAGGAAGCTTCATAACTCAGACTATCAGATATTGTTATCAATAAAAACTATGTCAGTGGACATTTAGTGCTCTATCTTCTCGTCACTCATCTATCAATCTACTATTTATCTATGAATTATCTATTATCGTCCATCCATCACCTGTCTATCTAACATCCATCTATCTCCCTACTTATTTATTTGCTTTTTGAGATAAAGTAGCCCAGGGTGGCCTAAAACTTCTGGCCTTCTTGCTTACTGGGATTATAGTGTGTGCCATCACACCTGGCTTAGCAGATATTCAGTACTATTGTCGTTTGCTTTGTTGAGACAACATCTCGATATATAGGTCTCCATGTTAAGACCAGGATGACCTTTCTTCTGTCTCTGAGTGTTGCTATAAAAGGCATGTGCCACCATACCCAGGTGTTCCCCCCCCACTTGGGACAAGGTCTACCATATTGCCAAGGATGACTTGGAGCTTCACAATCCTCCTGCCTCTGCCTCCTGAGTGCTGCCAGGATTCTAGACAAACACACTGTGCCCAGTTCTTGTGGTGCTTCATGCATGTTAGACAAGCATTCTATGAACTGAGACACATTCCTTAGCAAGACAGTTAATATTCTTGTGTGCATGTCTAAGTTCGTCCCATCTTATACGATTAGTAGCTCAATAGTTCCGTATCTGTGCTTCTCAGGGGGTCTCCATGCACTTCCAGGAAGCAGCTGTAAATATGGAGATGAGATTCTCCAGCTCCTTCGGGCTGGGAACTGCCATCCAGCAGTTTGTGGAAGCAAAAGGACCTTAAGCATGTCTACAAATTTTCTGTTTTGCCACCCATAGTCTGTTTTAACATAACAAAATTTGAAGGCTTCCTGCAAATTACATTTTTCTCTTTCATTTTTTCTAAGTATGAGCCTATCATACTCAGCTTGAAAGTTACCTCTAGAATGTTGTTTAAAAACAGAAATTCTAGCAGTCAGGAAGCTGAGACAAGAGGACTGCAGTTGAGTTTGAGGCCAGCCTGAGACATATAGTGAATTCCAAATTAGCTTTGGACACACAGTGAGATTTTTGTCTCCAAAAACACCAAGTAAAATTAAACTTAAAAAGTATCTGGAGTGTGTAAGGTATGAGGGCTGAGGACAGGGTCTTTCTGAGCAGAGAAAGACCTGTGCCACTGTTCTGGAAAAGGACACAGCCATGGCAGAACAGGCCCAGCGACTGGGGTTAAGCTGGGAGGTGGTTGTGGAAGGAAATGAAGTGAGAGATAAGCAGGAGACTGTTAAGTGAGATGCAGGTACACACCATTCGATGCTAACAAGGGTGTCACCAGCACTGCAAAAGGAAGGCTCAGAGTAGCTATTCTCTCATATTCTGTAAAAGACGCATGGACTCAGGGCTAGGAGAAATCACCTAAACACACTAAGCTGTGACGGAAGCTTAGGAGACACATGGTGGTACGTGCCTGTAGAACGCATGCGTTTCTGTGATGGCCCGGTAGAGACCACTGGCCGCCCTGGTGCTGATCATTTTAAACAGGAGCACGATGCTGTTCCCAGACTCCTTCGTAACGGTCAAGTAGACATTCTTTCCTGACTGGGTGGCCATCTGCACCACAGGATAAGCTATCCTGAAAGGCAGGAGGAGAAAAGTGAGCGAGCTCAGAAGGGACAATTCAGCATGGTGTTGAGACGCCTTTGTAGGCTGCCCATGACCAGTATGAACCAGACACTTAGCTTAGGGTGTTCTGTGATGATTCTAACTAGTTACACTGACACAGGACAAGCAGTGTGGCATGAAGACAGTTTTGGAGTGCCTTTGATGTGTGAAGGCATGCAGAAGCAGACACAAGTATTTATGGCCTGAGCCACTGTGAAAAATAATACTTCTGTCACACTAGTATACTTTAAGTTAGCATTTAAGAAATAATTAAATAGTCAAGGTTTGAAAACACTTAATGAAATCACTTTATTGGTAGAGGAGTCTGGTGAATTGTGTGTGTGTGTGTGTGTGTGTGTGTGTGTGTGTGTTTATTGAAGACTTGGGTTACCTGTTAATAGGACTAAAGTCATCTTTACAAATTGAGATGCCTTCAGGTCCAACCCCAATGAGGAGTTTCTGTCCTTCGCTGTCCCTCACAGCATGCCACTCTATGCCATAATTCTCCATCGCTGACACAATCTGCAGAACTTGGTACTCTGCCGAAGCCTGGCTGATACCCTCCAGCTCCTTATGCTTCGCAACAATGCTGTGGAACATTCAAAGGTGCAAATTTAGGCAGATCATTTCATGCATTCCTTAAAGCTTATAATTTTCACTAGTGAATTTATAGGGATGTGGCCATTTATGCATCACAAAAGCACCAAATGGCATATTACTATTTCACTTACTGTAAAATATTTCTAAGACACTGTTCAAGAGCTCAACTATGGGGCCAGTGAGATGGCTCAGTGGGTAAAGGTGCTTGTATCTGATCTCTGGAACACACAAGATGGCAGGAAAGAACTCAGTCTCACAGCACTCTCTCTCTCTCTCTCTCTCTCTCTCTCTCACACACACACACACACACACACACACACACACACACACACACACACACACACACTGTATTTTCTTTAAAAGATCTCAGCAAGTACCGAGAACGTACTGGTTAACTGACAGAATTATGGAAAAACATCTCAACATACACACAAGACAAATGTGTAGGCTAGACATCCCCTCATACAACTATCTACATAGACTTTACAAGCTTCCTGATAGGCTGGCAGCACAAGGGACTGGTTAGATTCTTTGCAACTGAAGAAAACACAGATCTACATTTTATGTTTTGCAGCAAGGCTGTCTCTCCTGTGCTCCTTGGTGACCTGGCCTTCCCTTGAGTTTGGTCTGGATTAATGGCTGGCTGCTAATGAACAGAAAACGGAAGACCTGGCATGACTCACTTCTGAGAGAGTCATGAAGGTCTGACTTCTCTCCTGACTCTTCTCTCTTGATCTTGGATCATTCACATGGGGTGAGCCAGCTACCATATCATGAAAGGGCCCTGTGTTCAAGTGGCCAGAGAAGGAAACTGGTCAAGAAGCTCCACGAACCACCTGGACCTGGAGGCCTCCCTCAGATGGGCTTCTAGACGAGACTGACCTCTAGGGCTTGGTCTGCCCTCAAGCCACAGTGTTTTCCTGCCCATGCATTCTCAGATAATGTCTGTTGTTTTAAGCTGAGTTTGGGGTTAGCTTGTTACACAGGACAAGGCAATTGAGTGGCTAAGCTAAGCTTCTTGCTATAATTCTTGCTGGGATGAAGCAAACACCAATAAACATGCTAAACTTTTACTGTAGGAGATTTGCATATTTAAAAGGTCAGGCACTTTCCAGATACTTGTTATTTATGGAATTTCATATAAGGGCATTTATTTATGTGGGCTATTTTGTGTTGGTAAGTTCCTCAAATAAAAGGCACACGAATCTTCTGAAAATGACTGGTTAAACCTGGCAGTGGCCTGTGCTCTATCTCACAAATTTCATGACAAGGCCATAGGGCCAGTTTCCTGATTCTTATCAAGTCGGTGACTGAACACTCAAGATAGCCAGAGTGCATGGCTCGCCTGGGGCCGCGGCCTCACCTGTTCAAGGTAGCACTGGAGAGCTCCTTTTCACACAGGTCCTCGTAGCTGTACTTGGCAGTGTTCTGGTTGTAGTCTCCGAATTTGGTCTGGGCCAGGAGGGCGCTAAGCTCCACTGCCTGTTCAGGGGAACACTGGAGGTGGCCTGCCAAGAGGGATTCTTTAATGTGCAAGAAAAAGATATGCCTGTGAAAAAAGGAGACAATGACTGAGCTTGTTGGGATAACAGTATCTGAGGCAGCCTTCTGGGCTGGGGTGTGGCTCAGGGAGAGAAGCCTGCCTGCCTGAGTTTTATCCCAGTGCTGTAATAAAAAACAACCAAACAAGCTCAACTAGCTTTGCAATTTCACAATCAAGTACTTTCTTTTTTTTAAGCAAAGAGAGCAGGTAAAGAGGGACAGCTCAGCAGATTGTAGCCAGGGCTAAGAACCTGGGTTCTATCCCCTGGGCACATACAATGGAAGGAAACTCCCCATGGATTGTCTTTTGGCCTCTACATGTACAGCAAGGCATGCTCCCTCTTCAAATCAGTAAGTAAGATTTAAATAATAGAAACAGCAAGTTAGCATTATAATGTTTTAAAGGAAAATTAAGAGTCAAATTTTTTTTTGATTGGTTTGGTTTCTTGAGAGAGGGAATCATATAGCTCACGCTGGCCTCGAACTTGCTATGTAGCTGAGGCTGGCATTCAACTCTGGATCCTGCCCCTGCAGGTTATGCACATACACAATTACTATAGCCAGCTAGAAAACCTCTCTTATAAGCAGATTCTGATCTTAGGGACATTAAAAAAGAAAGTCCCCTGAATTCTCAGAGTCCTACTCCAGTGTCCACCTACCAGAGACTTCACCAGCCAGACAGATGTTCTTCTGCATGTTGAAGCCTATGGACAGAGGACGACCTCAGGTGCCATCCTCAGAAATACCACCCACCTCCTTTGGCAGGGCATCTCACTGGCCCAGACAGAAACTATTACGCTAGCCAGGTTGGCAAGTGTACGCTTGGCATTTTTTTTTTAATGGACGTCAGGGACTGAACTCAGGTCCTCATGCTTGCCAGACAAGCTGTTCTCTCTGGGCCTTCTCTCCAGGCCCTGTCCCAGACCTCTCCAGACCCAGTTCTAGTCTTAACCATCTGGGCCTCCCTGGTCCTACTCACAGCCTAGAAGTGGCCACAGCTTTTGTGACCTCAGGGTTGGGTCCCACTCCCCTCCAAACTCTGCCAGTCCACCATCCAAGCTGCTTGAGTCCTTCGCAGAGATGCCTGATGGTGGCTGAAGTCCAGGTTCCTCCACTGGCTGCCTCTGGCCACACCTCCAGTCTCTGTGCTCTGGATGGGGACCATCCCACTACTTGGAAGACCCAGCTGTGCAGCTAACCTGTGCTGATGACCTCCTCTCCTGTCCTCTAATTTGGTCACCTTTTGATCCGCCTTGCATACAGACCATCTAGTTCTGAAATTACATTATGTAACAAGTTACCGATTCAAGTTTCTTTAGCTAGCTGCACCTGGGCTGGTTTAACTGCCTCTAACATCAGGGTGCTCCATAAATGCATGGAAAACAACATGTATCTGTATTTATTTTATTTTCCAATCTCAATTTTGCTCTGTTTGAGCCTACCCTAAGAACATTAAATTCTACATTTACTACAAGGTATGCATGTGACAGAAATCCCTGGGAAAATTCAGAAATTGTTTTTATTGTTCAAAATCCTCAAGAGGTTATCTGAGCCACCACAGAGCATAGGCTACAAAATTTGTCTCTGGTAAATGTGAAGTTTTAACTTTGATGCCTTGTGGTAGCCTCTCTCATGTGCTGAAAAGAGACAACAATGAATTCTAGTCATTGGTGAAACCCCGAACCCTGTGTAAGCTGGGCTGCTCACTTTCCCAGTCCTCAACACGGCCCCTCTTTTATACCATAGCTGAGTTTGCCACTCAAGGGACTAGCATGAAAAAGGTAAGAAAAGGAATCAGGACAAGAGAGGTGACAAAGGCAAGGAGCTGTGTTGAGAACCTCAAACTATGAGGTTGACAAGAGCCATTCTTCTTCCTTAACTAAGAAGTAGTCAATTTAATCTTTCACATATTCAGTAATGATAAAGGTTTAAAGTAATGAGACACCCTCAAATGTTTCAGTTTCTTCCAGACCCTGTAAGATGCGTAGTAGCATTCAAAGAGAACACACACAGCTTTTATTAACGCAGACATCTGGTAGTATTTAAAGCATTTCTTCCACACTGCTAAACTGAGAAAGGGGCCCTGCTGGGGCCAAGGAATTGCCACAGAGATAAACTGCTTTTAAAACTGCTATTTCAGCTACTGTGTGGTAGCCAGTGTGGTAGCCTACACCTTTAATCCCGAGACTCTGGAAGCAGAAGCAGGCAGATTTCTGTGAGTTTAGGCCAGCCTGATCTACATAGTCAGACTCTGTCTCAAAAGGAAAACAAACAAAAAAGGGTAAGAAGAAGCTATCAAAGGTTGCAGGTCTAAATTCTCACAAAACCTTGGTGTTGCTCACAGGGTAAATGGAATCTAGATGTACCTCTGCCTATTAAACCAGAGGGTATGTTTTCAGGAGCCTGCAGTCTGAATCTAATCTATGCTTACACTCAAGAAGAAATCATGTGCCAAAAGATTTTAAGATTAGCACCACAAACTGAGCCTTCACAATTTAATTACTGTGAATGTAAAGGTCTCTTTTGACTTATTTTCCTAGCATAAAATTTGAAACTGCTTCCTGCTTTATTAAACAGTACGGAGAGCTGCCAAAGACGACTTTTCAAATTTATTCAATTTCTTTTTCCAAATTCTCTACGCCTACTTCTGGAGGGATAGCTGCCAAAAGCAAAGGAACGGAACGGTAACTCAACGTAAACAGGTGGCTAGGAGCCTAGAGCAACGCCCAGCCTTCCCTGGAGTGGATGAGAACTGGAACACAGGCATGGGGCTGGGGACGGGGACAGGACAGGACATTGATGCTCTCCTGCCAGGGGGGCCTGAACTGTGCTCAGAGCTCAGCAGCAGGCACAGACACTCCTCCTCACTGTCTGTGCAGACCTCTTCCTGCATGCTGCAGTTTTCATGGCTTTAAGGCCACCTTTTATTTCAAGTCAATAAAGGTTTGTCACAACTGCCTCTGTGCTCCGCCCGCCCCACACTGGGGTTATGGGATGGACAAGTCTGATAGTTGGTTTGTTGTTGTTGTTTATAGATGGAACACAGTCTTTAATGGGGAGGAGCATACCTCATCAAAATAAATCCAGCCACAGATGGGCTTCTGGGTGACAAGGGTCCAGGCACCAGTGTAAGGGAGCAGGGGTGGCCAGAGTCACCAAGTCACCAGACTGATGAGTTATCACAAGACTTACCAGTGTGCTCCTTCCAAGAGGGAGGGTAGCAGTGCTCCAGAACATGCCAGAAGACAATTCAGTGAGGGCTCAGGATTTGAGTGGCTTTGAATTGGGATTCGTTCTTACTGCCAGGAAACTTTTCTTTTTTTTAAATATGGGGTGAAATGTTAAAAGTAATAGCAAAACAAGCAGATGTAGTCAAAGGAAGAAGTCAGGCCTGTAGAGAAGATTCTTTAAAAGTATAGCTCACAAGTGGATAACGTACCTAGTTCCATATAGATTACAACATGGAATCACACACAAAAGGCTTTGAAAAATACCAACTTTGTCTTAAGCTAATATCTACAAACATCCTATTGCCACAAGCTCATACTACATTTTCTATGTATTCCTAGGGTTACACTTGGAAACTAATTTTTAAAGTTTTACCTAGTTACTAAGAACATGGGTATTTCTGATGCATGGGCCACATTGTGGGGCCCAGGGTGCATTATGCTAGCTAAGTCAAGGGTTTGTATCATAGGTATAGATGAATTCACACAAGCTATAAAAATAGGGTGAGAGGCTGGAGAGACGATGCCTTCGTGGCTAAGAGCATTGGCAGCTCTTTCAGAGGATCTGAGTTCAAGTCTCAGTATCTACATGGCTGGTAACTGTCTATAATTCTAGTTCCAGTGGATCAGATGCCATCTTATAGCCTCTGAGGACAATGGCACTCATGTGGTACACAGATATAGACGCATAGGCAAAAGTAAAACTAAAAAATTTAAAATTGGGCAAAATTTAAGATGTCAATTTTAATTTTGGAAAGGAAGCAAAATCTTTTAAAAATTGTATTTACTTATTCACTTATTGTATGTTTGGGTGAATGCCATAGCACATTTTTGGAGGTCAAAGGGCAACCTGTGGAGTCCGTTCTTTCCTTCTACCATGTGGGTCTCAGAGACTGAACTCATCCCAGGTTGGTGACAAACACCTTTATCCACTGTGCCATCTTGATGGCCACAAAGCACTTACTCTTAATATATTTTTGCTTCAAAATTCTTCAGTAATTCCTGTTTTAATTCAGGGCATGGAGAGATGGCTCAGCAATTAAGAGTTTTTGTTGCTCTTGCAGAGGACCAGGGCTTGGTTCTGTAGGCACCAAGCATGCATATGGTACACATACATATATACATATATACATACATGTTGGCAAATGTTCATACATATAAAATTAAATATTTAAATTTTTAATTAAAAATAAAATCCATGCCTTTTCACAGAGTTAAGAAATAACAGGAACCATTTATCTTGAGGGTGTATAATCAGAGGACTCTCTTAACTGAACACTGATCATCTCACAGAAAAATCCTCCAGTACTCACAACAGAACTTTCCAGAAGCCAATTGGAAGCTCATTGTATGGGTGAATGAGAATGGCCTCCATAGGCTCCTATGTCTGAATGTTTGTTCCCCAACTGGAAGAACTGTGTGTCACTGAGGGTGTGGACTTTGAGGTTTCAAAAGCCTATGTCATTCCCAGTTACTGTGCTAGCTCTCTCTCTCTCTCTCTCTCTCTCTCTCTCTCTCTCTCTCTCTCTCTCTCTCTCTCTCTCTCTCTCTCTCTCTGTCTCTCCTGCTACTTGTAGATCAGGATGTAAGTTCTTAGCTACTGCTTTAACACCATGTCTGCCTGCCCACTGCCGTGATGGCAATGGAATTGTGGAACTGAGATCCCAAACTAACGCTTTCTTTAATAAGCTTCCTTAGTCATGGTGTCTTGTCATGACAACAGAAGGCAGCTAAGACAGCTACTGTTGGGCACAACATCCTAGTAATCTTGCCAGGTACA